AAAAAAAAAAAAAAAAAAAAAAAGTCACAAGGACAATCAAGAACCACGGCTGGAAAATAGCTCTAGAATCTGGGGTTTGGTTGAGGGCAGGGGAGAAGGGATGCCCTTCTGAGCGTGTTGCCTTCCTGGAATTCTAGATTCAGGGCAGAAAGGGAAGAGTGAGACAAAACCCAAGGTGGAAAGCCATGGAGAAGAGAGAGTGGAAGGTATCTGAGAAATAAGGAGAGAAGCACCCATGGCCACAGTGCAGGGCAGGGGAATCTGAGGGTGCAGATATGCTCCTCAAATCTCACTGTGCATGATCACCTGGGGTCTGGTTCAACACAGGCGCTGTCTCAGGCCTGGGGTAGCACCAAGGTTCCATGTCTCCCACAAGCTCTGCAGCAGAGCTAGTGCTACTAAGGGGCCACAGACCACCCTCGGAGCCACCCTCCCCACCCCCCTTTCCTCCCGGGTAAGTCAGAGGAAAACCTGAAAAAAAAAGAGGATGTTGGTTCTGCTGTGAGGAGGCTGTGCCTTGGGGGAAAATGGTGAGTGGGTCTCGGTGAGCCTCCTGGGCCAGCCCTCTTTGTCTCTGTCTCCTAGAAGGACCCGAGTATCTACCAGCTGCTCCGGGGACTCTTCGAAAGCCGGCCAGTCAGTCTAAAGGACTTGCTCAAAGAGCTGAGCAAGGCGGCCACTGGTAGGCAGCGGCTCTGAGGAGAGAGGGTGCGAGGGGCAGGATTCTGAAGACAAGCTAGGCCCCGGGAGACCCTTTTGGATGGGAAGGGGTGTGGGGGAGGACTTGGTGAATCAGTGAGGGTTGTGGTGTGAGCCCCTCTCTCATGGTCACCTTCTGGCTTCTGCTCCCCATTTATACACTTGTTCTTGGTTTCACAGATTCTAAGGGACCGTTTCTTCCCCAGAAACGTGAGTAACTGTTTCTCTCTCCTCACCTCTGCTGGCTACTGCCTGGAGCTCCGTGAGGTGTGGGCCCAAGGGCCATTTTGGCTGCTGCAAATGATGCGCCACAAATGCTCAGCCAATCTTTCCTGAAAGGGAGGGGCCCCAGGAATCAGGAGGGAGCGGTGTGAGGGATGTGGTGGACTCTCCCTCCCGTGGCTGGTCACCAGGAAATAAGGGCATCCCCTGGTGGCCCTGAAGATTCTCAGCCAGGCACCTGCTGGGGCAGAAAATTCTTGAAATATGGAGGAAGAGATGGGCAGAGAGAGTGGGCTTAGGAGATATGACCGTGGTGGGGGCCAGGGAGTGGTCAAGCTGAAGTGAGATAGAGGAAACCCAGTCTCAGAAGGCTTGACACATGTCTGGGGAAATGCACCGTTTTCTCATCATCACTTTTGACAATGTTGGCCGTTTTTTGCAGGTGACATGCAGGACTTCTTTGTGGGACTTATGGGCAAGAGGAATACCCAGCCAGGTAGGCGTGTGCAGGTGCAGTGGAAGGGCTTGGAGTGCTGGCAAGGATTTGGCTTTCCCTCGTATCCGTCAGCAGACGGAAGGACAGGACTGTTGCTTAGCTTCAGTGAGGGTTCCTTGGCCCTTTTCCCCCAGTCAGCTTGGATCCACAGTCAGGCTGTCCTGGGAGCAGAGCAGGGGGATATTTATAGGGCAGTCCTGTTGCAGTGGGGAGGGCGGGCCAGAAGGCTCTGCTTCCTCCCCATTCTCCCAACTCTGCTAGCCCTTCGTGGTTGGGTCAGGGGAAGGTCCCATTCAGGAAAATCCCTCCTAATTGCACCTTTACTTTACCCCAGCCTTTCCTACTAATGTGAATCAAGAGAAAGTCTCCAGCCTGGGTACCCTCAAGAATCTCCCCAATGCAGAATGAGGTAAGGACCGGTTGCTGGTTAGAGAGGGGAGGGGGCTGGGAGTTGTCAGTTGCACATTTTTCCTCTGATGCTACAGACATGAATGCTCATCGATTTGCCCTAAAATATACTGCCAGTGCCTGGCATACTGTTGGGCAAACACAAAGACACATAGAGGCATACCCCCCTCTCTTCATCTCTCTCCCTTGTGTCACGGCCCCCAGCCCCCAGCTGACCGCTGAGCAGAAAAAGCAAGTGGTGGAAGATAGGGAGATAAGATGGGGCTTCTCCGATGGGCAACTTCTGTTGTCTGGACCTTGTACTTTTGCAATGTTTACAGAAGATGGAGAAACCATTATTCGATAATGATAGGCACCACATCCGACTCTCAGGCGAAGCATTTGTCTCCTACACAGGTTGAACCTTTCAGATCACTCAGAATCCTGGGTTACTGGGTCCAGAGTATAGTCACGCACACAGACAATTCAGGAAGAAATGCGACAAACTCTGAAATCTTTTTTTTTTGTTTTTTTTGTTGAGTTGGAGTCTCACTCTGTCACCCAGATTGGAGTGCAGTGGCTGCTCCCAGCCACTGCAGCCTTGACCTGCTGGGTTCCGGTGATCCTTCGGCCTCAGCCTTTCAAGTAGCTGGAACTACAGGCACGCACTACCACACCCAGCTAATTTTTTGATTTATTGTAGAGATGAGGTCTCGCCAAGTTGCTCAGGCGGGTCTCGAACTTGCAGGCTCAGGCGATTCACTCACCTCGGCCTCCCAAAGCGTTGGGATTACAGGCTGAGCCACTGAACCCAGTTTGAAATCATTTTAATTTTAATTTTTGAGTCATGGTCTCGCTCTTTCACGATGATCACAGCTCATGGCAGCCTTGACCCTCTGGGCTCAGGCAATCCTTCCACTTCAGCATCCTGAATAGCTGAGACTACAGGCAAGTGCCACCACGCCTGGTTAATTTGTTGATTTGGGGGGGCGGGTAGAGATGTGATTTTGCTATGTTGCCCAGGCTGGTCTTGAATTCCTGGGCTCAAGCCATCTGCCTGCCTTGGCCTCCCAAAGTGCTGGGATTACAGGCATGAGCCACCATGCCTGGCCTGATATCTTCTGGGGGTAGCTGGAAACCATATCTCAGTCTCTCTGTATAGCTTAATGGATAAGAACATGACCTGAGTTTGAATCTTGGGTCTGTCATTATAACTGTGTTCCCTCGGCCAAGTTACATAACCATTCTGTGCCACAGTTTCCTCATCTGAAAAATGATGGTGATAACCGCATCTCTCAGGGTTGTGGTTTAGAGGAATGAGTGTCGAGAAAGTGTTCAGAACAGTGCCTGGTGCTCAGTGCTGTGGGCTAGCTAGTCTTCTGAGGACTGTCCCATTTTGGGAGGTATGAGGGATATCCTAGTGTTTCCCTGACTGGCTCTGGTCTGCTTGCCTAGAGCCGTCTGCGATGGACCCTAGGCCTGAGTGGGCTGACGGATCCCTCACTTGATATGCAAGTGTGACAGTCCCCCAAGGAAGTGTCTAGTCAAAACATGAATGCTTCCGGCTTGATACGTCTTCTCACATACAGCAGTAGCAGCTCGACCAATGGCTTGCTTTCTGCTAGATAAGAAAAGGTGGTGGGGGGGGTGGGGAGACGTGGCGAAAAGGAGAGGGAGAGGGATTGCAAAGCCTCAGCCTTCATGGAGAGACTCCTGTCTTTCTCCCTGTGACCCTGCGACCTGTGCTTCTTGGTCTCAAGGTGGCAAGCCTGAGGTCCAAGGAGCTGGCTCTCGATCATCCTACCTGTGCATGATTCCCTGGGACCAGAGCCTGGGTCTGGCCCCCTATTTAGTGTTGGGTGAGAGGGCACAAAGAGCTGTAATAACTGTAACTCGCTGATTATATGGTACTTCCCATATCATTTTGCTCTCATTAGATGGTTATTTCAGTCGGCTGACGGCCAGATAATTACACAGGCAGCTATATCTGGGTGACATACTCTCCCCCAGCGTCATACACTGGCCATGAAGATAATTACAGTGCAATTTTGCCACAGTATTTTATACAAATGGTGAAAACAAGTGTATTGTGGAAATCTAATACTTTTAATGCCCTGCTTGTGAATGCAGGCTCCTTCTAGGGGCCTGTAATTGCAGACTTCATCATCTCACCACTGACGGAGCACTTGCAACCTGTGAAGTGCCAAGCAGAATAGGACATAAGGTTCCTGGGGCTGGCATTTAACGGAGATTAGACAAGACGGGTCAACACAGATCACTGTGTCATCTCATTTCATTCATGTGAAATTCCCGAAAAAAGAAGTAATTCCTGGGCCTGTCCTTGCTCTGGAAAGGTTTCTGAGGAAAGAACTGGGTAAGGCAGGGGGAGCGTTAACAGCAGGCGCCTTGGATGGGACTGTGAGGAGGCCTGGCTCACGGGTGCTAGGAGGATATGAGCTTGGTCATGACATCTTTCTGCATGGACCCCACAGCCCATGCGCACAGGTGTGTAGAGTGGTATGATCAATATGGCAGCTGGTAAGGAAGGAATTCCTGCCGCTAGGAGAAGTCAGTCCTCTAGCTCGAAGGCTGGAGGGAGAGCTGAGGGTTACTGCTCTCCTGATCTCCCAGCGGGTGGTCAGTGGGAGTTTTACAGGACATAAGATGTGACTTTGGTGTTGTTTGGTCCTCAGCACTCCTCTTCTGGACCCCTGGACTGCATCATGAAGACCTGTCTCCCTGTCCCAACCCCAGTGCACGCTCTCTCGTTTTTCTTTCTCTTCCCGGTTCTTGTAACATCCCTGTGCTTTGACTCCCTCTCCTGTCTTCTACCCGAGCCTGGTGTAGAAACTGCATATGGATATCCCCAATCCTAGCGGGCATTGACTATAGACGCGCCTGGAGTTTCTGTAGTGTCCTATGTTAAAAAGGTATCTCTCTACTCCTCAATAATAAAGGAATTTTACATATGAGTGATGCGATATATTTGTTAGCTTGTTTGGTTAGTGCATTTTTCCTTTCCTTGACTCTTCCAGCTGCATCATACACACATATGTATGACACACATGCTTCCTAATTGGGTGTAAATACCTTCTCATATCTTTAGTTTGTACACATCTGTTTCCTGAAGAGTGTCTTACACAGGGCCTCACACAATAAGTATCGAATTTATTTAGTGTCTAGAAGAATACAATGAATTTGGAGGATGGTTTCTGACACAAAGATTTTCGCAGATAAAGAAGAAACAAATTCTGAGTGGCTTGTCTGTATTACTAGGATGGGCCTCGGGGATGTCAATTGCTGAAACTGACCCGACTTAGAGAGGTGAGGATCAAGGCTAAGCAAAGACCCAGGCACAGGGGATGCAGCTATAACATTATGCTATTTTTCTGTCCCCAAATGCTGAGCATGGCTTCTGGAACAAATGCTGGGGATGAACTGGTGACCCATCTACAGAGTTTACAGCCAGCAAGGCTGTGGACAAATGAACATGGGTGTAGACATGGAAGTTACTGAAGAGGCCAAGAGAGAAACATATCTTCAGTGTTAACTGGCTGCCTTACTTACAAAGAGAAAACGTTTATTTCAGACTAATGTGCCTGTTACCAGCCCTGGCAGCTCAGGCCTAGTGGTCCCCAGAACGTGTAAGTCACTTACATGTGGTGTGTCTGAGAATGGGTGTCTTCTATTAATCTGAGATGCCAACTGTCACAGCCTGTGGATCCCAAAGGGGACTCTGTACCCTAATGGAACAGACTGGGAAATCCTCAAGCTCCCTTGGTCTGATGCAGGATCCTTGGTTATGCCCCTGAGTTGCACTGATACAAAGTTGGCACTCAGATCGCAAGGCAGTGTGATGACAGGGCCACAGAGCCAGAGGCCACGTCTTGCAGTTCTTTCACTGTAAGTCAGAGGTCTCACTCTGTCACCCAGGCTGGAGTGCAGTGGCACCATCCTGGCTCACCAGTGCCTCAACCTCCTGGGCTCAAGTGATCCTTCTGCCTTAGCCTACCAAGTACCTGGGACTACAGGTGCATGTCACCACGCCCGGCTAATTTTTGCAATTTTTGTAGAGATGAGTTCTCATTATAATGTCCAGCCTGGTCTGAAATTCCTGGGCTCAAGCGATCTTCCTATCTCAGCCTTCCAAAGTGCTGGTATGACAGGCCTGAGTCACTGCACTCGGCCTATCTGTAGGGTTTTAAAGTAGAGACACTTTTGCAGAGCCTGGGGGATTTTTTTTGGTCACTAAAGCTTCAAGAGTTGGTTCTGCAGAGACTTGGTGGGAGTCAGGCATATACACTGAGATGAGGCAATTGCTTTGTCAAGCAGGAGCATAAATGCAGAAAGGTTGCTCTCTAGTGGGATTGACAAAAACCGCAGTTCCGAGGAGTCCAGAAAAAATGAAGACCAATTTTATCATTCCCTTTCTTTTTTACACTTTTATATTTCTTTCTTTCTTTCTTTTTTTGAGTCGGAGTCTCACTCTGTTGTCCAAGCTGGAGGGTAGAGGCATCGTCACGGCCACTGCAGCCTTGACCTACTGGGCTCCGGCGACCCTTCCGTCTCAGCCTTCCACATAGCTGGAACTACAGGCATGTGCTACCATGCCCGGCTAATTTTTGATTTACTGTAGAGACAAGGTCTCACCAAGTTGCCCGGGTGGGTCTCAAACCTGCAGGCTCAGGCAATCCACTTGCCTCGTCCTCCCAAAGTGCTGGGATTACAGATTGAGCCACCAAGTCTGGCCTTTTTAAAAAAAAATTATAGAGACGAGATCTCACTAAGTTGTCTAGGCTGGTCTCAAACCCCTGGACTCAGGCAATCCTCCAGCCTCTGTCTCCCAAAGTGTTGGGATTACAGGCATGAGCCACTCTGCCTGGCAAGACCAATTTTAAATCAGATTCCTGTTTTTGTTCTTGGAGGATGATTCTGACCCTCCCCTCTTCCTGTTGCAAAGACGTCGATGCCTAAGGAGACTTGGTCAACAAATTCCTGGTGCTTTCTTCTCATTTTGCTTTCTGCATGTGTGCTATTGGGATTGCATGGGGATGTACTTTTTTTTTTCTTTGAGTCAGAGTCTCACTCTGTTGTCCAGACTGGAGTACAGTGGCACGCTCATGGCCATCCCAGTGTCAACTTACTGGGCTCAGGCATTCCTTCTGCTTCAGCCTTCCAAGTAGCTGGAACTACAGGTGTGTGTTACCATGCCTGGCTAATTTTTTGATATATTGTATTATAAACTCTCATCTACACCCTTTGGGCGGTTTGCTAGTATGTGATGTTTACTGGAGTCAACAGTCCAGAGATGGCTGAGGCAGTGATTAGGAAGGCTGAACAGTCCAAGGACCTTGCAAGCCCTACAGCCTAATGTCTTTAGGGTCTGAAGGTCTGGAGTCTGGTAGTGTGATGTTCCCTTCAGGGGGACTCAGCCATCTTGCCCGGCTGTGGGAGCTAGGCCTGCCATGGGAACATTGTATCAGCCTCTGAGTGACCCTTTCACTAGATGACAAAGTGGGAGTCCAGACCCCAAATTACAAGAATGGGTAATTTTGTGTCTGTGGCTGTTTTTGTGTCTCCTTGCTTTCCGTATAATCTACCACCGGTTAGGTTGTGGGAAGGAGGACACACAGTCTCTCCAATTCAATAAAAGATTCATCGTAAGATTGCTGAACGGCCAAATTGTCTTAGATTAGTCAACAACATCAGGTGTGTTCTTCCCATCTAGCCATCAAATAATTACCGAACCCTACCACGTGCCCATCCTGGGGTTTGTGTTTGGCTGCAGCCATTGTGAGGCATGGATGGGATGAGAGAGAGGGTGAAACTGAAGGGTGCTGGAGCCCCAGGGCTTTCTTTGTAGTGAGGAGGGAGAGTGGGGTGATCAAGACTTCTAATGTTTTTGGTGATGGTGGTGAGGGCAGAAAGAGCAGGTAGTTTTGGTTTAATGTCAATTCTTGGGTGGGGGCATTTGAGAAGATGGTTTGGGAGAAGGGTGGTGAGGCAGAGTTTTAGAAGTGGGGAGGACAGGCTTCAGGAAACATGCTTGGGACGCCAAAGTATGGTGGGATCCTGTGACTTCCTTCATTTGGCCATCGAGGTGGAAGGAGGGACATCAGAGGATTATCAGAAGGGTCCAGTCGTCTAACCCTCAAGTGCTCATGCATCCATCCATCCATTCAAACGGGCTTTATTGAGCACTTGCCATCTGTGCTGGGAAGAGTGGTACGGATGGAGATACAGTGTGGGCAAAGTCACGGCTCCCTACCTTCAGGAAACACAGAGCCTAGTGAAGGAGACAGAAATTAACCAAATGATCTCAAGACTTTGTGAAGCTACAGCAGCGGATGTTCTGGGGAGAAGCTTTGGAATTATGAGCAGAGAACAGGGGAGGCCAGGAGAGTCTAGAGAGGGAGCAGGGGGAGGCCAGGAGAGTCTGGAGGGGGAGCAGGGAAGGTACTAAGAGTCTGGAGAGGGAACAGAGGAGGCCTGTGAGAGTTCGGTGAGAGTTCGGAGAGGGTTTCACTCTCCAGGTTCCGGGAAGGAGAAGGTGTTCCTTCCCGCCAGGACTGGGGGAAAGCAGG